CCAGGGGTATTTACATTTCAACTTGAATTGAAAGGATTATGGAAGAGCTGGGATAGAAATAGACAAAAGATGGAACAGGTTAATTTAATTTGACTGCTTTGAAGAGGAAGAGAAAAGTGGACAACTAGTGATGAAAATAGAGAGGGACAACTAGGGATGAAGATGAAATGGGACAACTAGGAATGAAGGTGGAAGGGACAACTAGGGATGAAGGTGAAGGGGACAACTAGGGATTAAGATGAAAGGGGACAACTAGAGATGAAGATGAAAGGAGACAACTAGGGATGAAGATGGAAAGGAACAACTAGGGATGAAGATGAAGGGGACAACTAGGGATGAAGGTGAAGGGGACAACTAGGGATGAAGGTGGAGGGGACAACTAGGGATGAAGATGGAAGGGGACAACTAGGGATGAAGGTGGAGGGGACAACTAGGGGTGAAGATGAAAGGGGACAACTAGAGATGAAGGTGGAGGGGACAACTAGGGATGAAGATGAAATGGGACAACTAGGAATCAAGGTGGAGGGGACAACTAGGGATGAAGGTGGAAGGGGACAACTAGGGATTAAGATGAAAGGGGACTACTAGGGATGAAGATGAAAGGGGACAACTAGGGATGAAGATGACTGGGGACAACTAGGGATGAAGATGGAAAGGGACAACTAGGGATGAAGATGGAAGGGGACAACTAGGGATGAAGGTGGAGGGGACAACTAGGGATGAAGGTGGAAGGTGACAACTAGGGATGACGGTGGAGGGGACAACTAGGGGTGAAGATGAAAGGGGACAACTAGGGATGAAGATGGAAGGGGACAACTAGGGATGAAGGTGGAAGGGGACAACTAGGGATGAAGGTGGAAGGGGACAACTAGGGATGAAGGTGGAAGGGGACAACAAGAGATGAAGGTGGAGGGGACAACTAGGGATGAAGATGAAATGGGACAACTAGGAATGAAGGTGGAAGGGACAACTAGGGATGAAGATGGAAGGGGACAACTAGGGATGAAGATGGAAGGGGACAATTAGGGATGAAGATGAAAGGGGACAACTAGGGATGAAGGTGGAAGGGGACAACTAGGGATGAAGGTGGAAGGGGACAACTAGGGATGAAGGTGGAAGGGGACAACTAGGGATGAAGGTGGAGGGGACAACTAGGGGTGAAGATGAAAGGGGACAACTAGAGATGAAGGTGGAGGGGACAACTAGGGATGAAGATGAAATGGGACAACTAGGAATGAAGGTGGAAGGGGACAACTAGGGATTAAGATGAAAGGGGACAACTAGGGATGAAGATGAAAGGGGACAACTAGGGATGAAGATGAAAGGGGACAACCAGGGATGAAGATGGAAGGGGACAACTAGGGATGAAGATGGAAGGGGACAACTAGGGATGAAGGTGGAGGGGACAACTAGGGGTGAAGATGAAAGGGGACAACTAGAGATGAAGGTGGAGGGGACAACTAGGGATGAAGATGGAGGGGACAACTAGGAATGAAGATGGAAGGGGACAACTAGGGATGAAGATGGAAGGAGACAACTAGGGATGAAGATGGAAGGGAACAACTGGGGATGAAGATGGAAGGGGACAACTAGGGATGAAGGTGGAAGGGGACAACTAGGGATGAAGATGGAAGGGGACAACTAGGGATGAAGGTGGAGGGGACAACTAGGGATGAAGATGGAAGGGGATCAACTAGGGATGAAGATGAAAGGGGACAACTAGGGATGAAGATGGAAGGGGACAACTAGGGATGAAGATGGAAGGGGACAACTAGGGATGAAGGTGGAAGGGGACAACTAGGGATGAAGGTGGAGGGGACAACTAGGGGTGAAGATGAAAGGGGACAACTAGAGATGAAGGTGGAGGGGACAACTAGGGATGAAGATGAAATGGGACAACTAGGAATGAAGGTGGAAGGGACAACTAGGGATGAAGATGGAAGGGGACAACTAGGGATGAAGATGGAAGGGGACAATTAGGGATGAAGATGGATGGGGACAACTAGGGATGAAGGTGGAAGGGGACAACTAGGGATGAAGGTGGAGGGGACAATTAGGGGTGAAGATGAAAGGGACAACTAGGGATGAAGGTGGAGGGGACAACTAGGGATGAAGATGAAATGGGACAACTAGGAATGAAGGTGGAAGAGGACAACTAGGGATTAAGATGAAAGGGGACAACTAGGGATGAAGATGAAAGGGGACAACTAGGGATGAAGATGAAAGGGGACAACTAGGGATGAAGATGGAAGGGAACAACTAGGGATGAAGATGGAAGGGGACAACTAGGGATGAAGGTGGAGGGGACAACTAGGGGTGAAGGTGGAGGGGACAACTAGGAATGAAGATGGAAGGGGACAACTAGGGATGAAGATGGAAAGGGACAACTAGGGATGAAGATGGAAGGGGACAACTAGGGATGAAGATGGAAGGGGACAACTAGGGATGAAGATGGAAAGGGACAACTAGGGATGAAGATGGAAGGGGACAACGGAATGAAGATGGAAGGGGACAACTAGGGATGAAGGTGGAGGGG